AAGAGGAAGACCCCCAACGAGATGGATCAGCCAGGTGGCATCATTGATGGACTCAAGTGTGGCAGCGGTAGTGAGATTGGCCCAGAATCGGACATTATTTCGTTCTGCTGTGCATGGGGTCGCTATGAGTCAGTTCCGACTTGATGGCACCTGACAACAACAAACAACAACAACGCTGCTTTTGGAACCTTAATGTGCTGATGGGGCACAACTCAAAATGAGAAAACAACTGCAAACATCCATTAATAATTGGAACATGGAATGTACAACGTATGAATCTAGCAATATTGAAAGTCATCAAAAATGAAATGCAATGCATTAAGATCAATGTCCTGGTGTGGCGCTGTAGAATAAGCACTTGGACTGCTAACTGCAAGGTCAGTGGTTCAAACCCACCAGCCATTCCTTGGGAACCCTACACAATGTCACTATGAGTCAAAATTGACTTGATGATGGCAGTCAACAACCAGAACCTACAATGAAACATTTTTCAGTCATAAAAAGGAAGGAACCACGTGCTACAGCATGTACAAACCTTGAAAACTTGCTAAAAAAAGAAATCACACATTTTATGTTCCATTTATAGGAAATGTGTGTAATAGGCAAATTCATGGAGACATGAATCAAATTAGTGGTTGTTAGGTAGGGCTCCTGGGGAACAGAGCAGGGAGAGGGAGTGCTTAATGAGTACAGGTTTCAGGAGTAATGGAAATGTTCTGGAATTAGGTAAAGGTGGTGGTTATACTACACTGGGACTGTATTTTACCAGCTGCTGTCTAGTTAATTTTAGTTAAAGGCAATCCATGAGTGTCTGTGCGCCAGGGGGTTGTCAATGGATGATTTTTTGGAAGTAGATTAACAGGCCTTTTTCTGAGACACCTGTGGGTGAATTCAAACTGCCAACCTTTACGTTAGCAGCTGAGCATGTTAACCATTCACAACACTCAGCAATGTGAATGTCCCTGCTGGTGTTGCTACGTGCTGTTGAGTTGAATCTGACACATAGCGCCCCTGTACTTAAAGCCTCTCAATTGTACATTTTGAAGTGGTGAATGTTATGTTTAGTTTCTCTCAAGTAATTGATTCAATTAATTAACTCTTTTAAACCAATTGGGAACTATTCTTTCTATATTTGTGCTGGGAATTTCTTGAGACCATGCTCACTGGATATCAAGTTCGGAATTACAATCATGAATGCAATGAGTCTGGCATAATGGGAACAGAGGCTATTTCTGTATAAATCACAACTCTTTTAGGAATAACAGAAACTCAGTTGAGACTACAAAAAGGAGTATTCATTGACTCACATAGGTAAAAAGTCCTGGGCTTTACTGCTCAAGTACAGCTAGATTCACGTGCTCAGGAAATGTAATTCAAGTCCATATGTTTTCATTTATTAGTCCTGTGATGGCTTTATTCTCATTCAGATTCTCCCCTAATGGTGGAAGGATATTTTCAGACAATCACAGTTGCTAACTGCAAGGTCAGCAGTTCAAACCCACCAGCTGCTCCTTGAAAACCCTATACAGGGTCACTATGAATCGGAACCAACTCAATGGTACTTAGCAACAACTAACATGAGGTTTAATATGGTTATTTATATGATCCAAGCTCCGTGGCAAAATTATCTTGAATAAATGGTATTTAATAATTGATTCTTTTTCTCTCTAAAGTTCTAGCCAATAACCTGGCTTAGATCATCTATCCATCCATGATCAATCAATGTGGTGGTTATGTGCCATGGAGTTGGTTTCAACTCACAGCATCCCTGTATAGGGTTTCCAAGCTGTAAATCTTTATGGGAGCAGAAAGCTTCATCTTTCTCCCAGGGAACGGCTGGTAGTTTCGAACTGGTTTCGAACCTCAAAGTAACTTGAGGTTCAACTCATAACCACTATGCTACAAGAACTCCTTAAAATGCTGACAGCACCTGGTATTCCCAGGTGGTCTCCCACTCAAGTACTAACCAGGCTCGACCCTGCTGAGCTTCAGCTATGTGAAGAGATTGGGCATATTCAGTGTGGTATGGCTGTGTCGTTGTTGTTGTTAAAGTGCTGTCGAGTCGATTCTGACCCAGAGCAACCCTGTATAGGGTTTACAAGGAACAGCTGATGAGCTTGAATGACCGACATTGTAGTTCAAATGATTTTGCAGTTTGACTCATTAGCCCACAGCATCACACCAAGACTCCATGGCTGTGTAACAGAGGGCTTATGTGCTTTAATTGACTCCTGGTTTTGTGGAGCCAATTGGGGTTGGGGGGTGGGGTCACCATGGGTCCAACCTCATAAGCTGAGAATGGGGAAGGGTGGCTCTTTGAGAAAGAGTCTGGTGGTGCAGTGATTAAGTGCTTGGCTGCTAACCAGAAAAGTCTGCAGTCCAGATCCATCTGCTACTCTGCAGGAGAAAAGACTTAGAGATCTACTCCTATAAAGTCCTGAGCCTGGGAACCTGGATGGCAGCACTACTCTGCCTGATAGGGTCGCCTTGACTTCACAGCACATAATACTAACAGTTTCCTGAGAGAAAAGTGGGGGTGGCTATTCCAAAAGGGAAGGAAAGCCTGGCCATCTACTTCCTAAAATCAGCCTATTAAAACCCTGTGGATCACAACAGTCCAGTCATGCGAATGGCACAGGACTCGGTAGCATTTTGTGCTGTTGTATATGGAGTCAGCAGGAGTCAGTAGCCTATTCTAAGGCAGAAAAAAGGATTAGTGGCTGGGTAAGCAAAACACAACAAATGTATTCCTTACCCTTTCTAATTTCTTGTTTGTGTTTCCTGTTTATTTCAGGATAGTGTTGAGTTTAGAAACATCTGCAGTCATCTGGCTCTACAAATTGAAGGCCAGCAATTTGACAGAGACTTGAATGCTGCCCACCAGTGTTTGAAGACCATAGTCAAGAAGCTGATTCAGTCGCTTGCTAACCTTCCTTCGGATTCTCACATGGTAGCTTGTGCCTCCTTGAGACAGATCTTACAGAATCTCCCAGATGTATGAGTGTTAAATATACTGTGATTAAAGTCACAGCTAGCCTTTCTAAGAGCACTGTGGACCTTACCTTCTAATGAAATCAAACAATGGATGTTTATTGCCAGCCAGGAGAGTGTCCTTAGCAGTCTGACCAGCGGCATCTGTACCCTTCAGAATTCTAGCATGTTTGTGAACTTTTTAAGAAGAGTAATTCACATTTTTAAGTACGTTGACATATTTACTGGCTTTTTAATGGAAATATAATCCACTTTATGCACCTGAATGGCTTGTATATGTATATATATATATATATTTATTTATTAAAATCTATCTTAAGTGTTAGTATTGGTTGAATGACATTTTAATCTATATTCATATAAATGTAGGTCTCTAAGGTTTAATATGGTTATTTATATGATCTAAGCCCCATAGTTCTTGAAATTATCCTGAATAAGTGGTATTTGATCATTGATATATTCTATTACTGAGCACTCTTATTTTATGCTGCAAGAATGGTCTTTAGATGTTGTAAGACCACATGTGGCAGTGGTCTTATGAATTCTATAATAGTATGAATTCTATGCCTAGCTTTAATGACCTCTGTTTGGCCACAGAAGCATTGCTTCTAAAGCTTCTGCTTTTATATGCTGATTTATATCATTTTGATGATGACAAACTATGGAGTATCAAGGATATATGATATATAAATACAAAGTTCAGTACTATTAAAATATGATGTGGAAACATCTAACTCTTCTTACTGTTTATAAATATTCTGATCGAAGTAGGAAATTCTTGGGGAAAAAAAGGAGAAAGTGGATATACTAACCAATTTCCCTGAACATTTACAACTTGGAAAAGAGAAGGTAATTTTTAATATTTGACTTTTTGTTTTTGCAACCCTTATCTGAATATACTTCAGAAAAACTGTATTTCCTGTTGTGTTGTAAAGTAAACTCAAATAGTTTTATACCCTAAAATTTTCATAGAAATGGCATCAGATTTAGAAAAACAAACAAACAAGAAAAGTACAATATTTCCATGTAGCTTATTTTCTAAAAATGTTATAAACTGGGTCTTTAAGGTTGTTGTTGTTAGGTACCATCGAGTCGGTACTGACCCAAAGTGACCTTATGCACAGCAGAACTAAACACTGCCTGATCCTGGGCCTACCTCACTACTGTTGCCATGCTTGAGTCCATCAATGCTGCCACTTGGCCAATCCATCATGTTGAGGGTCTTTCTCTTTTTCTCCAAACCTCCACTTATCAAACATGAAATCCTTCTCCAGTGACTGGCCTCTCCTGAAAATATGTCCAAAATATGAGAGATGAAGTCTGGCCATCCTGGCTTCCAAGGAACATCTGTCTGTACTTCCAACATAGATTGGTTTATTCTTTTGGCAGTCTATGGTACTTTTAATATTCTGCTTCATCACCATAACTCAAATTCAACAATTCTTCTATGGTCTTCTTTATTCACTGTCCAACTTTCACATGCATATGAGGTTATTGGAAATAGCATGGTTTGGGGCAGGCACACCTTAGTCCTCAAACTGACATGTTTGCTCTTGAACACTTTAAAGAGGTCTTGTGCAGCAGATTTGCTTAATTTGCCTAATTTGTAATATGTTGTTTAATTTTTTGACTGCTGCTTCCATGAGTGTTGATGGTTGATCTGAGCAAAATGAAGTCTTTGACAACTTCACTCTTTTCTCCATTTACGTGGATGTTGTTTATTGGTCCAGTGATGATGATTTTTGTTTTCTTTTTATTGACCTGAGGTGCAACCCATACTGAAGAATGAGCTTTGATTTTCTTCAGTGTTTTAAGTTCTCTTCGATTTCAGCAAACAAGATTGTATCATCTGCATTTCGCAGGTTGTTCATGAGTCTTCCTCTAATCCTGATGTCATATTTTTCTTCATATAATCCAACTTCTCAAATTATGTGCTAAGCATACAGTTGGAATAAGTATGGTGATAGAGTACAACCCTGGTCCACATATTCCCTAATTTTAAATCATTTGGTGTTTCCTTGTTCTGTTTGAATAACTGCCTCTTGGTCTATATACAAATTCCTCATGAGCACAATTAAGTATTCAGGAATACTCATTCTCCACAATGTTGTTTATAGCTTGTCATGAGCCACACAATCAAAAGCCTTTGCATAGTCAATAAAAGACAGGTAAATGTTTTTCTGGTATTCTCTCTCTGCTTTCAGCCAAGATCCATCTGATGTCAGCGATTATATCCTTCATTCCCTGTCCTCTTTTTTATCTGGCTTGTACCTCTGGCAATTCTCTGTCAACGTAAGGTTGTAGCTGATTTTAAATTATCTTAAGCAAAATTTTACTTGCATGAGGTATTAATGGTTTCTGCATTCCATTGAGTCTACTCTCTTTGGAATGGGCACATATATGGATCTCTTCCAGTCAGTTGGCCAGGTAGTTGTCTTCCAAAATTTTTTTTTTTTTAATTAAATGTTTTTATTTTGGATTGAGTGAAAGTTTACAGGGCACATCATCAGCTTCACATTCAACCATTCATATAGCTTGTTTCATTACATTGATTATTATCCCC